TTACTTTTACATATGTGATTATTTAGGATTTGATTAATATGTTTTCTCTAGGAAGCTCGAGGTCTTCCAGTATGGCCCTATGGTCAACTTCTGCCAGAGGCTGATCGTATAGTTTCCCTAGGGGACCTAGATGTTCCTATATATTCATTTTCTCAGCTTAAAAAAAAGGCAATTTTTATTCATGGTTTTTCTATTTTCACAGATGTTCTGCACCTTATATTCCCATGAAACTGTATAATCTCCACTATGGAATCCTACCTCAAGATCTTCCATAGCATATATACCCTAATGAAGAAGATTCTGGAAAATGTTTTCAGGTGCATTCAAGCATCACGCCATACATTTTCCTCTAGACATGGTGGTAATAGCTTCAGAAAGTGGATTTAGAAAGATAAATGTTAAACATTCCTTCTCCAAAATCTCCACCTCCTGGCTCAGCTCCAGGACTTCCGCTATCCATTAAGAATGCTTGAATTCATCACAGGATCATACCGAGTGGCTCAGAAGTAGTTAAAAAGATCTACCTGCTGCATTGGACAAAGAATGGTATGTGTGGCAGCAGGCATGTAGCCGGGGGGGGGGGGGCTTTGGGGGCTTCAGCCCCCCCCCCCCGAAATTCTCATGGTGGTCTGCGAAAAGGCCTTACTGGTACATTATTTAAACTGTTATGTTTATTCATATAATGATCTGATCACCATGCTCAATATGTAACCCAGTGATTCCAGCCATGAAAGCCTCTGAGGATGCTTGCCATAGATGCAGGCGAAACGTCAGGAGAAATGCCTCTAGAACATGGCCATATAGCCCAAAAAAACCTACAAGAACCTAGTGATTCCAGCCATGAAAGCCTCCGACAATACATTATTTAAACTGTTATGTTTATTCATATCATGATCTGATCACCATGCTCAATATATCCCATACGCATGGGGGTATTGGGGTAACGATACAAAAGGTTGCTAGGGTAGACCCTCTTTCACTCAGACTCAGCCCCCCCCCCAATCAAACTCAGCCCCCCCGAATCAAAATCCTGGCTACGGGCCTGTGTGGCAGGCAGAGCCATAGCCCGGGGGGGGGGGCGTTAAAGGTTCAATACCCCCTCCCCCAATGTGTCATGTTAAAAAAGCGTGGTTTACTCATGAATTTTAACTGGTTAATCAATTTATGAGTAAACAAGGGTTTTTTTTTAACCTGACACATTTCGGGGGGTGTGTGTTAAGGGTTCACACCCCTCTCCCCGAAATGTGTCAGATTAAAAAAAACACCTGGTGGCAGGTCTGGGCCAGCTTCCCAGAGATACAACCATTAACTAAGACACTATTTTCATTTTTGGGGAGTGAAGTCAGTCATACATTTCACTATGTCTTCAGAAAGGGCAATGAATTGAACATATACACTATGGCAGTGGTTCTCAACCTGGGGTCCCCAGATGTTTTTGGCCTGCAACTCCCAGAAATCCTAACAGCTGGTAAACTGGCTGGGATTTCTGGAAGTTGTAGGCCAAAAACATCTGGGGACCCCAGGTTGAGAACCACTGCACTATGGACCTTATCATATTAACATTGGGTTTCCGTGAAGTCTTGGTAGGGGGCATGAAGAACCCTTTGCCCCACATCCTGCATTACCCGACTTACACTTGGCCCCATCCCACAGGGGAAAGCATCTGCCACATGGCTTCCCCCATTGTTGCAAATGCAACATGGGAAGCCTCCCATGCTGCCACCATGGCATCATATGCCAGTTCCTCTCCTCTTTTGCCATGGAGCCCTTCGTGGGATGCGCTCCATGGCAAAAGGGGAGAGGAATCGGTGTACAACAGGCAAATTAGCCCAGATGATGTCGTTATTTATTCATGAACACTAACTGTATTTATCCAACAACCACATGCATCAGCTTCATGTCTGTGAATGAGCCATCACATACATTAAAGGAAAATATAATCTTTTCATATCATATCTTCTAAGTCCCCATATTCAGTTGCAAGTTAGCAACTTATGTAATGAACTCCCTCTCTTTTTCCCATCTTGATTAGTTGCTTTAAAAATGTAGATAATGCAAGGAATGAGAATGCACATACATAAACATGTAGAGTTTCATATACAGCCTTGCTTTGGTTTATGATCCACAAGAAGGAAACTACTGATGATAAAGTAAACAAGACCAATAGCTTTCACAACATGAGATGAACTATTACAAAAAAAAAAAAAGAATATGCAAAGACATTTGCAGATTTTCTCATCTGTGGTGAGACATGAAAACTTGACACATCAACCACCCTCCATGAAAAAATGTCAACTTCCACCAGCTTTTTTTTTTTTGCTACTGTACAATAGTGAAAAGTCCAATGCTTTTTTTGTAGTTGGTTGCTTATTTTTGTTGATTTTGTTGTAAAAATGTATTTTGACCAAAAATGTATTTAATATTTGATGACCAACCCTGAAACAACGAGACCACATAATACTTCCTGGGTGGAAACCTTGTATTTTGCACAAAATATGTCTGTGCAGAACAAATTTTTACCCCCCAAAAAATGTGTGCATAAGCTTTGTGATTTTTTTTTTTTGCAGAAAAAGTCCAAACAGAAAGAAATGATCAAAAATGCAAAAACACTTGCAATCATTGTCCCATCAGAAGGATGACTTTTTAAAGGTTTCATTTTTACATATGAGAACATATGAGAGTAAAGGTTCACATTTCTGTCACAATGACGTACTGGCCACTTTAATGGTTTGGCATAAACTATCTCTGGAAAGGTAAGTACTCTGGCCAGGGCCGTAGCTAGAAAAAAAATTCGGGGGGGGGGGGGTTGAAACTTTTTTTAGCAAATCATGAAGAGTAGTTCGATAACACAACAACAACATTTTTAATACAGTCCAAAGACCCTTATTGCTCCGTAAAAGGTATAAGATACAAGGTATGCAAGGTTAGTAAGGCCAAAAATAGCCAAAATGTTGGTTTTTTACCTGAAAATTTGGGGGGGGGGTTGAACCCCTAACGCACACACACACACACACACCCCCGGGCTACAGGCCTGACTCTGGCTGACTAATTCAAAGGAGGTGAGCAGAAGTTGACTCCCCTCTCACATGTAGCTTTTCTTTTGCTTTGGGGAATAAAGGGGTTTTTTTGTGAATATTTCTTGCTACTATGGCAAAAGTGTTTTTTTGGTGACTGTGTGGCTCGTGTGTGTGTGTGTGTGGGGGGGGGGTTCCCATGCTTTTGTTTCATTGAATTTTGCACAGAAAATAGCTCTTGATTCTTCATTTAGTACTTAGGTTGTGTTCTGGCATATGTAATTGGTTTTTTTGACCCAATAGCATTGTCAAATCACATATTATTGTGTTGTGGGGTGGGCTGGGTGGGTTGTAATATGTAAATTGGTTTTCCAAATATATTATATGCTATTGCGCTGGATCATTCATGGTGCAGCAATTAAATATCTGCAACAAGCACTGGAATTTATTGTGACTCATTCATTCATTCATTCAGTCACTTAATCACTCATTCATTGGTGTTTTCTAAAGGACGTTGGCTGTCTTGTTTCAAAGCTACATCAGTCAAAACAATGAAGATGCACAGAACCTTGGAAGGCCATTTACATATTCCGCTGACTCTACATTTTATACTGTATACACTCTTGTGTCTCTCCGTTGTGATTGAGCAGATTCATAAATGAGAAATAAGGTCCCATTCACCATTCTGGAATATTTGGCACCATTAATAGAATCATAGAATCAAAGAGTTGGAAGAGACCTCATGAGCCGTCCAGTCCAACCCCCTGCCAAGAAGCAGGAATATTGCATTCAAATCACCCCTGACAGATGGTCATCCAGCCTCTGTTTAAAAGCTTCCAAAGAAGGAGCCTCCACCACACTCCGGGGCAGAGAGTTCCACTGCTGAACGGCTGTCACATTCAGGAAGTTCTTCCTCATGTTTGGATGGAATCTCCTCTCTTGTAGTTTGAAGCCATTGTTCCGCGTCCTAGTCTCCAGGGAAGCAGAAAACAAGCTTGCTCCCTCCTCCCTGTGACTTCCTCTCACATATTTATACATGGCTATCATATCTCCTCTCAGCCTTCTCTTCTTCAGGCTAAACATGCCCAGCTCCTTAAGCCGCTCCTCATAGGGCTTGTTCTCCAGACCCTTGATCATTTTAGTCGCCCTCCAGCTTATCAACGTCTCCCTTCAATTGTGGTGCCCAGAATTGGACACAATTCTGGCACCAATTTATTCATTTCAATTTCCACCAATCTACCACCCAGACAAAATTCTGTTTTGTTAAATTTAACTCTGCGTTAAATTTACCATCTGATCAGCTTTTCCTCAAACAAACTCAAGTTCCCTGTCTAATATTCTTGGCTTCGAATGATGTTTCTGGTTTTGAATGAACACATTGAGTTCTAGAAATCTCCTTTCGTTCCATTCACCCCTGCTCCACATTTTGGTACAGAGAGTTTCTCCAGTGTCATGTCGCTTTTGTAATGTTAATCTACCAACCTTCACACAAGCCATGGTGGCAAAGTCATCAAAGGGAAACCACAGCTGTGCAATCACCCAGTCTTCTCAACACGGGCAACCAAAGAAATTGCTACCTGGGCACAAAGGTGCCACAATATTTTTTATTGCAGCAAGTTCTACCATTTCGAGATCCAAATGTTCCACTTATTCAAATGAAAGAATCTGGAACCAGACAACTTAAAATGCAATCAATGTTCAGGGATGTGGTGAGAGATCTGAAAATACTGCAAAACTTGGAAAAGTTACTTTTCTAGATTACAATTTCCAACAGTCATCGCCAGCCTGTGGCATGCTCTTATAGGGTGTAGTAGCAAAGCAAGCAAACAAACAAAACTACCTTTGCAATATTTCTAAGTTCTGCACAAGAGCTGCAAGTAGTAACAAGATCTCAGCTTCGAAGTGCTGTTAAGGAGCAGAAAGAAATAAAGAGCCAGAGGGAAGGAGGAGAGAAAGACACAGAGAAAGTGTGGGCTATATGCTCACCATTTGTAGCCTCTGCCTTGCTTAAACTTGAGAGTGAGTGCTGTTTCCAAGCAAAGGAAAAGATTAATCAGTGCCAGCAGCCAATATTTGGGTTCCTTCTTCACTTCAGTCACTCTCCAGACTGCAAGTAGGGAATGCAAGACAAAGAGCAGCCGAGTCACCAGGGCATTGAACAGCACCCGCAGTTCCATTCTGTACTGGCCTCCCTCCCTTTCTTCTGCCTCCTCCTCCCCTTCCCCAGCCTCTGTCTGCAAAGGGGTCCCAGTGCCTAAAAGCCTATTAGCAGCAGAAGGGAAGAGTCACTGGGTGCTCTATATCCAGATCCGGGCAGACCTTTCCTCCTTCTCCATCTCCACGAAGGGGCCCGTTATGACTAAAAAAAAAGAGAGACAGAAACTGCTTTGTCCCTCCTCCAAACTTCCTGAAAACTCTTGGGGAGAAGTGAGGGAAATGAAAAACCAGGCAGTCCAAGCACTGGTGTGGTTTTAAAGGCTGTGAGAGTTCACAAGATCTGTGACTGGCTAACGTCACAGGAACACCATCACAACTTTCTTTTAAAAAATGCGCCTTTTGTTCTTCTTTCATAAGTATCAGTGCCACATGTGGTCCTTTGTAACTGAGCATTTCAAGGGAGGGAGTGCCACTGGGTTGTTTCTGAATTTGCAATCTGCATAGTCAGGATAAGGTGGTGTTCATGTCTCATTTTAATTGGCCTAATTCCAGAAGAATGCTGCAACCCCATAGAACTTAATGAGTAGTTCTTAAGAAAACTTAATGGATGTTTCTTAATGCGACCTCATTAGAGAGCTTCTTACATATGCACTCAAACATCCTTAAAGGATTTCCCCTCTACCTTTTCCCTCTTTAATAGAACTAGAGTACTATACTGCTAGCCTTGGATTGAAAGATACGGGTTTGAATATCCATTCTTAAAATAATTATATAATCAGAGGCGGTCCTAGGTAATTTTCAACGGTAAGCAAACAGTATTTTGGTGCCCCCCACCAACCAATCATTGATATATATTTTCTGTTCGTCATGGGAGTTCTGTGTGCCATATTTGGTTCAATTCCATCATTGGTGGAGTTCAGAATGCTCTTTGATTTTAAGTGAACTATACATCCCAGTAACTACAACTCGCATATGTCAAGGTCTATTTTCCCCCAAAAGTGCCTCAAGAGTGCCCCTGGGCAAAATCAACTATACTGCGAATGTTTACTTTGCGTAATGGGTTGAGCCGCCCCTGTATATAATTGCAATAATATATATTATGTCTTTGCTTAATTGCTATAACATTCAATATATACGCATCTAGTACAAAATATACTGCATGCAATTCTCTAAACCAAAAATTATTTTTCTTATGTGGTATAAACAACAAATCCTTACAGCAAAATGTACAGCTGTTTTAAAGGTTCTTTTGAAAATAAATTTATAGCTAACCATACAAAGTTTGTAAATCTTTTTACAAGTCTCTTAATCCAGAACGTCTTAATGTAGGTACACTGCTGATTCCTACAGTTGAATATAGACCATATTTTGCTAAATTCTGTCCACACCAACACACAGTTTATCAGTCCTTTTTCAAAATCCACAGTTTGTCAACCACAACCGGTTTCGACTATATGCAGTCTTCTTCAGGTGGTAGTAGAAATCCAAAATAGTAAGTTTTGTAAAGTGGACAATTCTTCAAGTAAAGTCAATATATGATGGTAAACAATGATGAAGACCTAAAGGGAACACATTCAGTGGCTAAATATAGTAAGGAAAGCAATTATCAAAAGTAAATATTCAGATTCTCCTACGGATATATTCAACTGTAGGAATCAGCGGTGTAAAACATTAAACATTATTAAACACAGCACATAAAATATCATCATATAACACCCAAAGACATAGCCATTGTCTGTAAAAAGTCCTGGGTCATTGCACTTTCAACTTGCACTTTAAATATTCCTATGATGGACTGATTGCTTGGTTCTTCCTCTGTGCATGAGGCAGGGCATTGTGGGCAAGCATACAGATGCTGAGCAGTTTGTTCTGCTCCACAATAACACAAAATGGAGGATTCTTCTAGATAGTGTCATTTTGCCAGGTTGTCTTTTGATCTGCCAACCCCACTTCTGAGTCTGTTCAGGCACTTCCAAGTTGCCCATTCTTGGTTTGCCCCTGAAGGAAGACCCTCATAAGGGGCCTTCCAGTTGGAATTGCCTGATTTTTCTGCTCACAAGGATATTCTTGCTATTGTTGGAGGAACATTTAGAAAAGTGGTAGTTCTCATAAAACTTTTCCTTGATTTAAATCTACTGGGAGGAGGCTGATAGTCATATAGTGGATGGCTTTCACAGTGTTCAACCTTATTTCCCTCAGAATTGGCAACAACTTTCTGTTGCACATCCGGGGAGTGGGGGGGGGGGGCAATGCCATCTAGCTTATAAAGTCTATCAGCAGATGTAGGTTTAAGACATCCTATGATTATTCTACATATTACATTTAGTGCTATATTCACTGCAAAAAGCCTATGCAATAAGTCAGGTTGATATATGGTGGATAGAGCCCAAAACTGCTTGGTCATCTTCACAACTGAATAGGCTTTCTTTCTTTCTTTCCTCTGTGTCAATTAGTTCACACAAACACTTTTCATTTATCTGCCACTGGCCTGGCCCATGCCTGAGACACACACACACACACAGAGACATTTCTTGACACTACACAATAAACTTTTGCTTCAAAAAGGCCCCAGCAGCTGAAAAGGTTTGAGAACTATTCTAGACCATAGATGATTACATGTACACTTGTCATCCTCCAGTCTGGAATTATATTCAGAAGAGTGATAAATAAGAAATCCAGGAAATAATCACTTCCATGAACAGATAATTGTGAGTTTTCATGCAGCTCGGAAAAATTACTTTTTGGGATTACAGTTTATAGAATACCCTCAATATGACCATTGGGAGCTGTAGTCCCATAGCAATAACTTTTCTTAAAGACATCCAGAATTTCGGGGTTCAGTGTCATCTGTATGCAGATGATGTCCAACTCTGTTACTCCTTCCCATCTGCTACTAAGGAGGCTGTTCAAGTCCTGCTTGGCCACTGTAATGGACTGGATGAAGGCTACAGATTGAAACTAAATCCAGACAAGACAGAGGTACTCTTGGTCAGTCGAAAGGCCGAACAGGGCATAGGGTTACAGCCTGTGCTTGACAGGGTTACACTCCCCCTGAAGGCGCAGGTTCGCAGCTTGGGAGTGATCCTGGACTCATCACTGAGCCTGGAACCCCAGGTCTCTGCGGTGGTCAGGGGAGCTTTTGCACAATTAAAACTTGTGCGCCAGCTGCGCCCGTACCTTGGGAAGTCTGACTTGGCCACGGTGGTCCACGCTCTGGTTACATCCCGTATAGACTACTGCAACGCTCTCTACGTGGGGTTGCCTCTGAAGACTGCCCAGAAGCTTCAACTAGTCCAACGAGCGGCAGCCAGATTACTAACAGGAGCGGGGTACAGGGAGCATACTACTCCTCTGCTGCGTCAGCTCCACTGGCTGCCAATTAGCTTCCGAGCACAATTCAAAGTGCTGGTGTTGACCTATAAATCCCTAAACGACTCCGGCCCAGTTTACCTGTCCGAACGGATTCTCCCCTATGAACCATCAAGGTTGTTAAGATCTTCTGGAGGGGCCCTGCTCTCGGTCCCACCACCCTCGCAATCGCGTCTGGTGGGGATGAGGGACAGGGCCTTCTCGGTGGTGGCCCCTCGGCTCTGGAACTCTCTCCTGCTGGAGATTAAATATGCCTCTTTTGACTTTCAGAAAGCTGGTAAAAACCTGGCTTTGGAATATAACATTTGCAGAATGTTGATCGAGTCAATAACGGCTGACCACACTGGTGGATGGTGATGAATTTGTGATTTTATTCTGACGACCTGGCTTTTGTAATTGTATGATATTGTATGATTTGTATTTTAATGTATTTTGTATTAATGTATTATGATGCTATTATGTTTACTATATTTGTGTTGAATTTTCTGCTGTTAGCCGGCCTGAGTCCCTCTTCAGAGGTCGAGAAGACTGGGTTATAAAAGCTCTAAATAAATAAATGAACAAACTCTACCAGAGGGGTCGGAAACTCTAAAACATTATGCTTTGTGCCAGCGGTGGGTAAGGCCATAAGAAAACACAGGCAAAACCATTCTCTCTGTGAGGCACAGGTTGACTTTTCCTGATCTAAATGTACATCTTTCATTTGAAAATTTTCAATGTCGCTGATATTTTAATGTAGGAAGGAAACAGCGCAGTTGCTATCCAAGGTTTGGGAAATGCTGATATTTTAAGTGCCCACTATGGAGTCTGGATTGGGGAGTGAACTTTAAAGATTTTCTAAGTATCAGGAAACTTATTCGAAGTCCTACAGTATCTCTTCCATTTGTAGCTGAGCTAATAACATATGTTCCTGGAGGATTACAGTCAATGATTAAGGAAATTAGGTTTTGTTTGAATTTAATTTAGTAATATAAAGCTGCTACAATAATTTACAGCTTTGATATTTAATATTTAATAACCTGGTTCTTCAAAGAATTCTCCCAGTAATTGTGTCATTACGTATTGAAATACTATCCCCATAAGTCATTTGTATTTGCTAGTTGAGAAGAATGTTCATCAACTAGATTGGTTCAACATGAACTATCTGATAAAGGAAACATGTTATAGGTTGGGGGGCCATTCCCCTTCTTATTACCCAATATGTCATAAGTCGCTTGAGAGGAACTGTGTAGCAAAACATTTATTGGAATAAGATGCTGCTGTTCTGGAGTTTCCCCTTTCTTCTTCCATAACTAATGGAATCAGAATAAATCTAGTATTTGTACAAGTTGAATATGCATTACCCAAAATGCTTAGGACCAGAGGTATTTGGGGTTTTTTCCCCCAAATTTTGGATCACCCGTATTTGCATATATGCATTAGATGAGTCCCAGTTCTAAAAACAAAATTCATTTATGTTTCATTTATACCTTATACATGTAGCTTGAAAGTAAATTTATACACCATATACACAAAACTGCCACTCTCTTAATGCAGGAAAAGTAAGGTTTTTGCAAGGATCCGCAGATATCGAGGGACACCTGACAAGCTTCGCTAACAGGAAATGTTTCAAATCAGGAATCTCACCAGGTTGGAGGCAAAAGACAGAAGAATTTATTCAATCTGCACAGAAGGGACACTTGTACAGCAACAGATGCTCAAAGAGTACAAGCGCAAAATATACGGAAAAAGAAGACATTTTTATACATTAAAATATAATCTATTAACATTGTTATGGCTCGAAATTCTCTTTCATTCCCCTGATTGGGCAGTTCCAGAAAGCTGGCTGACATTTCCCAGGCCTCTGATTGCCCGGGAGGCAGATCTCAGCTGGTGCACACCCTGATTGGTGGAGGAGGTGATGACAGAGCTGGGGATCTCCTCCCAGCTGGGCAGGAAAGC